GCATTAGGTAATAGTTAACATTTGGCTCAAGTGTAGTATTTGCCTTTTGAAAGTCAACAAAGGTGAGATCATGTTTACATCTTGATTTGCCACTTTGCATCATAACTCCTAAATCTACTTTCTGACAGCTTACTCTGCATGCTGTGTGCGTTTTCCCATGACTCCCATGTCTTCTGTGCAGTGAATGTTTTCCCATGGATTATAAACTACAGCTCTGCATGCTGCTCCTAATGGACACGTACAAGAAGCTGCATGTTCTTGTCAGTGAATGCATGCAAATGAAACTTAGAGCTTTCGTTTTCTCGTTTTCAACTGAGGACTAATAGCCATAGAGAAAGCAGTCATTTTTCTTGTGTGCAGTTGTGTTCATTAAACAAAATCCACCAACTAAACATGAGCAGTGAGTAAAACTGTTACAGCAGCTCATGGCTCTTTTTTTGTCTTTCTTTTTGCAGAGAAATTAGCAAGCGCCAAAGAAGAAAACCTCGGAATGCACCAAGTTCTGGATCAGACGCTCCAGGAGCTGAACAGCATATGAAGGGGGGATGGGAGCAGTTTCATCTTACAGCATTCCATGACCATCCAGCTTAATTCCATATCTCCAGCTATTCAAACCTGTTTCCTCACAGAGGATTAATTTAATTTGTGCGTCCGCAATATTTCATTTGTCAATTTATCCCCCCCCCACACCCCCCCCCTCCCAAAATCTTTGGTGACTGGTGATGGTCGGCAGCTGAGGTGCTCATTAAGCGCCTGTAATTTCAGTTTTTTTCATTTGTTTACATTGTATTTGACGCACATTCATGCCAACTTCCAAACGTCCTGCATGCAGTATATTATAGCTGAATAGTGTGGTCAGATTTCAAGTGGACATTGTCTGCCATCTACTGGTCACTTGGATTGTTTTTTTAAATGAAGGTGACATTTGAAGAATTTTGTTATTATTATTACAAAAATTATGAGAGGAGGGGGGGCTTTTTCTTCCATTTTCCATTTGAAAAAAAAGATTGAGGGACCAAAAAAAGAACTTTTATTATGCCAAATCATGAAACGTGTGCCAAAAGGTCAAAATACACATACATTCCAAATTGTACCGGAGGCGATGCGGAAATATGTAAACCAAACAGCTCTATGAGTGCAAAGCTCTAGAGAGACAAGAAGTCTGTGCATGATGTCATCCAACATTCCATGTGTAATACGGACCAAACCCACAATGCAGTTCTTTTAATTATCTGCCTTGCTCTGTGCCTTTCTTAAACGAGTTTCTATTTCACTTTCCACTTAATAAATTTGTATAAAACTCCAGGCCTGAATGTGTTTGCTGCATGCAAATGAAGCGTATTTTGAATAAAGAACTTTAAGCCACAGATATTATACAGTCCATTATTAGTATTATTATCTTACTGCCCCTTCACAGAAAAGTCACATACACTGATCAGGCATAACATTGTTTCTACGCTCATTGTCCATTTTATCAGCTCCACTTACTATATAGGTGCACTTTGTAGTTCTACAGTTACAGACTGTAGTCCATCTGTTTCTCTGCATACTTTGTTAGCCCCCTTTTACCCTGTTCTTCAGTGGTCAGGACCCCCATGGACCCTCATAGAGCAGGTACTATTTGGGTGGTGGATCATTCTCAGCACTGCAGTAACACTGATGTGGTGGTGGTGTGTTAGTGTGTGTTGTGCTGGTATGAGTGGATCAGACGCAGCAGTGCTGCTGATGGTGCAGCAGTGCTGATGGTCAGAGGACGGTGGACCACTGTTCGCCCACTGATGGCAAAGCAGGCGGCCCACTGACTTGTTACCCAGTCGTCTGGTGGACCAACCGCATTATTGTTTTTTTATATTTACAGCCATAACAATTTATGTAAAAATACCAGATGTTAAAATATCACAAGTGGCCAGCGTAGGGTTCTACTTTAGCTGCTGTAGCCAGTCAGCAGCCTGTCCATGTTGTCTACCCTCACACACTAACAGCAGGCCATGTAGGAGGAAAACAGAGTGAAGAGACACAGCACCTCCACACTAAGGCCAAGAATCTGAGGTTGAAATAATGCTAAATCACATCATTTTGTCTTTTGGCAAACATTGAAAATGGGTCCCACAGACCTGAACACCACACAAGGGTTAAGCATAGTGGTAGACAAATGACTACTTGTCATTTTCCACTCACAGTTCAATTTACTTACTTTTCCTTTATTTCTTTCTTTCATTATCCTTAGTAAATTAGTAAATCATTTTAACAGCAGGTCATAGATAAAGCCGGTTACACAGCTGGAATCAGTCTAGCACAGTGTCAGCAACAACATTTTCAATTAAATATTTTATATTAGGCCCAGTCATTACTTTTTGCTCTGTTGTTTGTAATATTTGTTAGTTTATTTTCCCAAATAAAAGGCTGTGCGCATGTAAAATATGTTTGGGGAGATAAACTCCTTAAATGGCCTGGGCCCACCTGCAGGAGTTTATTACACACTCCTATAATCTAAGAATAGCCTAACCAGTTCGCACTGAAGTCCTTGTAGTTATTGAATAATAAGCCTTAGTGTGTAAAAAAATGTGATTTTAAGGGATTAAAAACTAGTTAGACCTTCTATGCAGGCCAATAATATGGGTGATCCAAGGGTGGACCAGCAGAGACATACGGTCAGTGGGCTCTTGATGCTTGCTATCTTGCTATTTGATTGCTTTCAGCATTTAGCATTACTTACCATTTGGGAATAAATGTTTACAACCCATATATGGAAGGAGCCCATTAGAGGTAGTAAAAAATGTAAAAAAATAAAGCATACATAGATTAATATCCATCATCTAAACCACTTATCCTTCTGGGTCGCTGGAGCCTATCCCAGCTGTCATTGGGCGGAAGGCAGGATACACCCTGGACAGGTCACCAGTCCATCGCAGGACAGACAGACAGACAGACACATTCACACACACCAAGGGGCAATTCAGCATGTCCAATTGGCCTGACTGCATGTTTTTGGAAACCCACGCAGACACGGGGAGAACAGGCAAACTCCACACAGAAATGACCCTGGCCGCCCGGCCGGGAATCGAACCCAGGCTATTCTTGCTGTGAGGCGACAGCGCTACCCACTGCGCCACCGTGCCGATTAATATATTGATAAATATTGATAATAATAATAAAAGCTATTGTAGCACATAATAGCCTAACATAGCATAACATCGTTCTGAGTGGTGAGTTGAAGTTGGTGAGGGCTTATTTAAAAAAGTATGAAGATGGGGCCTACATGTCCAAAAGTTTGTAGACACCTGCTCATCCAGCGTTTCTTCTGAAATGAAGGGTATTATTAGGAAGTTTGTCCCTCTTTGCTGCAGTAACAGCCTCTACTCTTCTGGGCAGACTTTACACTAGATGTTGGAACATTGCTGTAAAGATTTGATTGCATTTGATTGACTGTACCGATGTTGAATGATTAGTTCTGGATCTCTCCAGCTCATTCCAAAGGTACCGGATGGAGCTCCATCACTCCAGAGAATGCAGTTCTCCTCCACAGCTCAATGCTGGGGGGCCTTAGCCCACCATTGGTGCTGGTGACCTTAGGCTCATGTGCAGCTGCTCCAGAGTGCCCCATTTTAGTGTTCAGTGCTCCTCTATAGACATTATACAAGCTTTGGGTGCACAACTGAACACCTGTGTTAGCAGTGAATGCACTCATTATAAGCCTACCTGCAAAACTTTGGACATTAGTGTAAACTGCCACTGGGGACCTTTACAACCTATAGGTGGAGAGCGCCCCCCAGAGGTAGCAAAAAACATTTGCTCAGTAAAAAGCATGAGTGACAAATGATGACAATTAAAGTAACTATAAGCGTATAACACAAATTCTAGGCAAATCCATTGATTATCAACATTTTGTCATTACAGTATTATTATTTTACTTATTTTTTCTCACAGTGGACGATTATCCAGTCTAGCAGACAATGTCTCTATAAAGAACCATGAGCATTCAAAGAACCCTTTGCTTGCTCAAATGGTTCTTTGCATGGTGAAATAGTTCTTCAGATTGATGGAAAACAATTTCAACATGCAAAGCATCCATCTGTTTCTCTGCATACTTTGTTAGCCCCCTTTTACCCTGTTCTTCAGTGGTCAGGACCCCCATGGACCCTCACAGAGCAGGTACTATTTGGGTGGTGGATCATTCTCAGCACTGCAGTAATGCTGATGTGGTGGTGGTGTGTTGGTGTGTGTTGTGCTGGTACGAGTGGATCAGACACAGCAGTGCTGCTGGAGTTTTTAAACACTGTGTCCACTCACTGTCCACTCTATTAGACACTCCTACCTTGTCAGTCCACCTTGTAGATGTAAAGTCAGAGACGATAGCTCATCTGCTGCTGCACAGTTTGTGTTGGTCATCCTCTAGTCCTTCATCAGTGCTCACAGGACGCTGTTGGCTTTATATTTTTTGGTTGGTGGACTATTCTCAGTCCAGCAGTGACACTGAGGTGTTTAAAAACTATGCAGAGAAACAGATGGACTACAGTCTGTAACTGTAGAACTACAAAGTGCACCTATATAGTAAGTGGAGCTGATAAAATGGACAATGAGCATAGAAACAAGGAGGTGGTCACAATGTTATGCCTGATCAGTGTATATATAAATATATATAGATTAGGCATAACCTTTTGACCACCCCCTTTGTTTCTGCACATTTTTTCTGCACATTTTAGTGCACAATTTCTATTTATTTGCCGAGTTTAACACACTGGGGGGAAAAAACACAGCTTATTAAATGTGTTGCACGTGCCACATTAAAGGTGCAGAAGTTTGTTCCCTGTAGAGGATTATTAACTTATTTTCACTAAAAAAACATCAAAACATGAAATTTGACCAGGGGCGCCAAAACTTTTGCATATGACTGTATATAACATTTTATAATATATATTTTAGCCGTTCAGTCAAACAAAAGCGACCTATTTTTATAATAAGAGCACGTGGTGCTCTCTGACGTAAGCACTGCCACTCCCAGCGTTCACACAGGTCGACTTTAACCCACACACCGCTGTTAGACCGACAGTCCACTCTGAACACACAGGCCTGAGAGGACTGCAGCGGGTCAGAGGAATGACGTAGATCACCGTGAAGTCCAGCACTTCAGTCTGTCCGGAGAGCAGGTAAGAAACACCAGCCGGGCTCTCTCAGCTCTAACGCTGCCTCTGGAGGAATGTTGGGGCATCAGAGTCAGTTAGTTGCTGAAACAGCATAGACATCATTAAAAGCTTCTGGTGGTGTCTAATGGTCAGTAATGGTATTTAGTGTTGTGCTGATGGGTTGATATTACAGTGTAAAGGATTCTAATGGTTTAACAGGTGATTCCAGATCCATTTGATGGTTTCCTAATTGGATCTGAATGTAAATCAGTGAGAGACTTAATTTAGATTAAAAACATTGCGATTAAACGTCCAATCAGTGACATAAATCTGAGCTGATGACATCAGCATCTGCATCAGATCTATGTATGTGTGAATATACTGTATCTTACAAAATTTGACAGTTTTCCTTAGTGAATGTTTTAATGAAAGTCTATTTCACACACATTTAAATGGGATATTTATGTTACAGGCAGTTGATTTTAATATTCAAATGTATTCAAATAAACCGAAACAACCTGTCCAACTTCCCCTTCTTTGCAACAGCATCCTTCTTTGTGTCATTTATAAACATGCTAGGTCATCTGCTGGACCTTTAGCTTGAGTTCATGCTATTTATCACAATACAAAAGGATTTGTCACTTTGGTCACGCTGAACAAACAGCTCTTCCGCACTGCTGCAGGTGACATTTCTACAGGTGAACAGGTGACACAACGAGGAAGTTAACGTCCTTTTTGTCCTTCTGTTATCAGCGCGTGGGCTATCATGGCTGGAGCAGTGTCGCAGGCCAGCCGCGAGGCCGTCCTGGCCTGGTTCTCTGAGTTTCAGCGGAACAGTGTGGTGAAGAACGGTATCATTCCTGAGTGGTTCCACGGCATCATTTCCAGGAAGTAAGGCTCAGATGTGCTGCGAACGTCAGACAGAGATCCAGATCATATCTGTTCCAAATTTCTTTTACATACGTGGCTGGAGAGTAAACAGTTTGCACTTTCACTCTTTCACTTCCTCTGTGAGTAGTTTGTTTAGAGGAAGAGGGAACAAAGTCTGTACTGATGTTCCAGTTATTACGGTCAGGCCTTTCATTTCTGGCTCAACAAATCAGTGCAGGATCGAAACTGTCTTGAAGGAGTGCTCCAGGTTTTTTCAAAATAATCTCCAAATAATCTGCCACATCTGTAGTGTGTGGTCAGTTACCATGGACAGTAATTTCCTCATGTTACCTTGTACAACAGAAAACTGGTAGACTTCAAATAGAATAACAATGCCAAACTCATAAGGCCAGACATAATCCCATAAAGAGAAGACACTTCTGGAGACATGTTTGCCTTTTGGTGCTGGACTGCAGCAAAGTCCACCACAAACAGGCGCAAAGTTGCGCTCTTTTTAAAACGATAACACAAGCAAAACAAGCTAGAAATCTTCTTTGGTTTCTTTTGGTTTAACAGAACTGCAAATGATTATTATTTTTACCACATGTAACTATAAACTTAATTTTCAGCCATCTTAGCCTACTTAGGTTACATCAATGGGCTAACGACAGGATTGCTGTCTGGCAGATAATGTTGAGCTCTGCCTTCACATTACAGTGATTGTATCACAGGTAAAGATGTTGTTAGGCACAACATCTTACCCTTGATAATAGCACTAACACACAGCCTCTAGTGGTTATAACTGCAATTCATTATAAAACAGTGGACAACATAAAATGTGATAAAATACACAATTTTCAATAAATAGTGGTTTATTATTAATCAAGATAAACAATTTTTCCTGTAAGAAATGTAGTTCCTTTATAGCATGCTATTATCACCAAGCAAACTATGGACTGCTGAACGAGGACAAGAATGTTCACCCGTCATTCTATATTACAGCCATTTAATTAACGTTTTAACTTTTTGACCCCGTTTACACCTGGTCACTTAATGTGACTGGTATCTGGATTGTATCCTGATAAAATTTTGGCCATGCATTCACACTTGGTAGTAAAATGCATCTCCAGTTAGTCTGAAATCCAATTGCTGTGTGGGACGGAATATGCAAATCCACTCGTTACGCAGCAAACAATTACCAATTGTTTATCTGTTCAGCCTCTTTGTTTGCAGTTTGTTTAGCACAGCTGTGTCTATTCATGTTACTAAGCATTTCGTTTTGTCCGGTCCCTTACCATGAGCGTCCTCCATGATTATCTTCCTCGCAGACATGGATCATGTGCCCAGTGACGTACTGCATGGGGAGGAGGGTTGGTTGTACTGGGGGGGGGTTTGGTTGGCAAATATGTCTTGGAGAGATGAATGTGTTTACACTGCTATAACATGATACTCAAGATGCATGGAATGACCAGGTGTAAATGGGCTCTTTGTCATATAATAATGAACATATGATAATATAGCACCGTTTTATGCAAAAGCTTTCACTTTGTAAGTAGTTTTTGCTTACCAAATTACCACCCCAACGACACTTCTGTGGTGAGTCCAGTCTTATTTAGCACCAAGCTAATGGTGTTTTATGACCCTTTTCCCACACAGGGGCTGAATCTCAAATAGCTCCCTACACCCTATGTAGTGCACTATGTAGGAATTAAATACTGGCTCCTGCATCCAAACAGTGCATAACAGAAATTAATAGAACAAATAGTCATTTGGGGTTCGGCCACAAATTCCATACTGGACAAACAGTGCACTGTTGGGGTGTAGTAGAAAGAAAGGAGCTGCTTGAGATTCAGACTGGGTTTGAAGGCAGATCTGACTAAAACGTGGACATTTGAAGCATGTAAGATATTAATAGAGGAGTCTTTAGCCTGTTAGCTAGCTGAGCAGCCTAGTTCTAGTAAAAAAAAAAAAATTGTCAGTCCCTCAGTTTAAGCATGACTGGCTCATCAGTACGCTAGGTGGTCCATGTGAGCAGCATTACGTCAAAGATTATTCCATTTACAGCAGATTTCTCTTGACTTGATACAGGTGCGCATATATGAAGTATGTTACACGGCCTCGAAAGCAGCTCAGCCAATCCAATTTTAGGCCTGGAAGTTTTAGTTTTATAATATAAAATAGTTCATCAAGTAAAGTATAATGTAACCATAATAAAATCTGATTAAAAAATACTAAGATGACAAAAATGCTTGTGTAAAAAATGTATGTTTTATGTCTTAATTAAAAAACAGTAACAGGCGCTAACATTTAGAGCAGTGACCGCAAGAGCATGGTCATCCTTCTGTCATTCCCTGAAGACCTCAGAGACCTAAGAGCAGAAGCAGGGTGGAGCGAATCCACAATAGAGGAAAGGGTCAGCACATGAAGAGCTTTAAAAACAAAACCTAAATCCTGTAATGGGCAGGAAGTGGAGCTCATAAGCAGTCTAGCAGCTGCATTCTGTGCTAATGAAGGCGAGTAATAATGAAAAGTGATGAAATTAAGTCTTGAGGGGGAAAGAAATGGTTTGATTTTTGAATCTGTATAGAGATAAAAGCTACTCTTGTCAACAGAGCTGATATGGTGGGTCAAATCTGAGGTCAGGATAAAAAACACTAAGATTTCTAACACGGCTTTACATATTGTGAGATTACTCTTAGGCAATTCAATAAGCTGAAAGTGTAACACTGTCAAGTTTATCTCTGTGCTGCTTTGCCTTTGGAAAGTTCATCTCAGCTGATTTAAATATTTTGCAGGGAGGCAGAGGAAATGCTGATGATCAAGCCACCGGGCTACTTCCTGATCCGAGTCAGTGAGAGCAGAATAGGATACACCCTGTCTTACAAGTGAGTCAGTAATGTACTGCATTATACTTTACTGCGTTGTCATATCGCTGCTGTTGGAACAAAACCTCCTATCTCCAATTTTGTCGTTTTTCAGTTTTTGACATAATTTGAAAATGTCTGTTGCCCTTTACATTGTATATAAATTTCATGATGAAAGGACTGAAATAAGTGGCCCAAAATGACTTCTAAAAAAGTCTGGTTCCATTGACTTACATTAAAAGTAAAGTATGTTTTTTCCTTCTCCTATAAAGTTATCGTTTTAAAGATACAAGGTTTTGTTCCGACAGCAGCGATATACTTTCTTACAAAACAGTTGCAGAAATTAATAAACATTTCAATGAACAAACAAAGGTATGAATGGATAGAGACCTACTAATCCCCCCGAATGTGTTTGGTTGTATGTCCAGAGCTGAGGACCGCTGCAGACACTTCATGATCGACATGCTGCCAGGTAACCAGTATGTGATTGTAGGTGAGAAGACACAACATCGTTCTCTCCACGACTTGGTGGCGCTCCACCGAAGAGTCCCCATTCTGCCCTACAGCGAGGTGCTCACTGTAGCCTGCGGCCAGGTGCGGCTCTTCAGCCCAGAGTGTTACTGTTTCTGTCAGTCAGCAAGTCAGAGTTTGGAGACTGTTATTCTCTTACATCTGGCTGAATGTCAGTACATTGCACGTACATTGCAGATTCTCCCTGAGTGAATTAACCTTTTAACCTGTAGTCTGGTTATCAGTTGTTAATCTTAAAACTTATTATATACAGTTGCTACTATGTATTTTTCAGTAAGTATTATAAAAAACTGTTCTTGTCACCTCTGTGTACACGGAACTACTGCACATTAAGCCATCCACGACTATCGAGATTCCGTCTGTTGCATTCTGATTGGCTATCTGAACATCCGTGTGTGTGCACTTCCGTGCACTGGTTGTAATTTGCCTGATGGGAGACATGTTTTAAAGAAGCTGGAGAAAGATATAGTTGCAGGATTGAAAAACATTTGTGAGGCTTATGGAGTCATTATGGAGTTTTTCTCCAGAGTTTTCTTTGACGGATTTAGTAGCTGGTAAATTAGGTATTCACTGTTGTTGGAAGAAAACATTGTATCTCCAAAATGATAACTTTACAGGAGAAGGAAAAAACATGCTTTACTTTTAATGTAAGTCAATGGAACCAGACTTTTTCCCCAAAGTCATTTTGGGCCGTTTCGTTTGGTCCATTTTTCATGAAATTTACATACAATGTAAAGGGCAACAGGCATTTTCAAATTATGTCAGAAAATGAAAAAATGACAAAAATGGACATACGAGGTTTTCTTCCGACAGCAGCATATTCTTTTGCATGTCAGTCATGCGGCCCTTTCCTGTCAAAGTAGGTGGTTCTTGGCCACTTGAGATTCAGCCTGGGCTTGAAGTGAAGGCAGATCTGACCAAAACAAGGACATTTGAAACATGGAAGATATTAATAGAATAACTGTTTAGCCTGTTAGCTAGCTGACCAGCCTAGTTCCAGTAAAAAAAATAGACAAAAATAAATTAAATGACAGAAAAGAGTCAGGAATCTGGCTTGTGAGACTGTCACTGATGTATCTCTAAAATGGTGACGAAGTAATTTGGGACCATTTTTACTGATCCGTTTGTTATGAAATGTTCATGTAATATAAAGGGCAGCCAGTGTTTTCAAATGGGGAAAAAACAATTCCTCACTTTTATCCCATAACAATTTAAAACGCACATAGTAGTCACATATTATGTGCTTCCGTTTTTTATGCAGCTCATTTTTTCAAGGTTTATCCAGCAATCTGACGCTGTTACATAACTGCATTTTGTGACATCACAACAGCAGCTTTTGTAATCAGTAAATGTGGCCCCTGCACTGTGTTTCTACTTTAACCAACACCATGAACCAACTCATTCACAGGCCTCCAAGGACAACACAGACTATGCAGAGCTGTTATTTCCCAAAAGGAACATCTGTCCCCCAGGGACTGATGTCCAGCCAAGCACGCCTCCACAGGCCGGCCCGAGGCCTCAGCCAAATGTCCCCGAAGACCCACGTCCTGCCCTGCCAGCATGTCCCCCATTTCCAAACCAGAGCTTGAACACTGCTCCAGGACATGCTCCAAGACTTTATCCCTGCCTGGACGCTGAGCTTGCTGCTCTGAACCCACAGAATACGGTGAGCTGCCAACACATGAGTAATTTAGGATGACTGTGTTCTTTAAAGTTAAATTAAGCCTAACATTCAGTTCCTCAGACTGGGAGACTCTGATCATACTGCAGGTTTCTCAGTTTGACTCATGAGTGTGTGCATTCTAAGAATGGAATAAAAAAAGTGGTAAAAAAACAGTAAAAGGTCTTTAAATGGGTCATCTTACCCATTGGGACAATTTGGGAACAGCCTTATTTTAAATATATATATATGAACTTGATGACGACAATTTTCCAGGCATGACAGCAAATAAAACTTTTCAACTCAAATACTTTTTCACATTCACAGTTTCAAGTATTAGCTGTTACGCTAGCCGCCTGTTTTAATAGTGTTTTTACATGCTCTTGTTGACTTGGCCTCGCCGTCTTAAGGGTCGTTACTACATTAGTCCAAGTGAAGTTTATTAGATGAGCCCTTGGTGGAGCAAGGGATCAAGTGAACATCAGTGTCAACTTGCCCAGAAATTGTTGCGAGCTGACATGATTTTCTTTTTCAAACTCCTAGAAATGGTGGACAAAGCTGTTAGCCTTAGCCATTAAACACTTAAAAATGCTTCAACTCTATAACATTTGAATTACTTTGTTCACATGGTTTTTAGGTAGCAAAGTACTGCATCTGTTATGCATGCCTGCTGATACAGCTTCATTACTTTACATTGCTTGCTAGTTAGGACACTAAAGGCTACACAGCTAGCAATCATAAAAAATAAAGGCAATACATCTTATACGTATTTACACCAAAGCTTATAGCTAGACAAAGTGATTATTCAAAACGTGTATGTAATGTTTAGACGTCTTAAAAATGTTCTGCTCTACAATATTTGCATGGCTAACTTGAAAAATCCCCTGCTCCCCTTGGCTGTTTGGGTAACACAGATGTGACGTCCTTCAAAGTGTTGAGTCAAAGCTGATGAAGACATATTAAAAAGGTATTAACATGGGGCAGTATGTCCATGTTTGTAGACATCTGCTTGTCCAGCGTTTCTTAGGGTATTAATAGGGAGTTTGTCTCCCTTTGCTGCAGTAACAGCCTCTACTCATCTGGAAGGTGGTTAGGATTTGAATGCAGCCACAAGAGCATTAGTGAGGTCAGATACTGATGTTGGATGATTAGTTCTGGATCACTCCAACTCATGCCAAAGGCATTAAATGGAGTTCCACTCCTCCACAGCCCAATTGCTGGGGGGTTTACACCCCTTTAGCTAATGCTTGGCACTAGACGTGGTGACCTTAGGTTGTGCGACTGTTTCAGAGCATCCGATTCTGTTGGTCAATGCTTTTCTATAGAATTAACAAGCTGTGTATGCAAAGTTAAATACCCATATCAACAATGCATTATAGTAGGTGAATTCACTAATTAGAAGTGGTGTATAATGTGGCAGAGGTGTGGAGTTAGACAAAGGGGAGGCTGTGGTCTCCACCACAGAAAGTACCTTTTATTAAACGCCAAGGCAAAAAGACACATACGAAGCACTGAACCCATTGGGGAGGTCAGCACTAGCCACAGGCTTCACACTCACGGTAGACCAAAACCCCAACACAAGGCATACTAACTAACCCGCACCCTGACACAAGACAACAAAAATAACACACACCCACACACACACACACACACACACACACACACACACACACACACACACACACACACACACACCTTAAACTAAAGCAACACCATCATAAACAACAGTAAACAGTCCTTTTTAGGAAGGTGAGCACCTACCAGGAGCCTCTGTGCATGGCCGCTAGCATGGTCACACCTCCTGAGCTTCTCAGAAGCAGCATAAGCCAGTAGTGGGTTGCTACAATACTTTTGGATACCAAGTGTATTTGACAGAATAAATGACCATTTGCTGTAACTTTTCTGTAATGTTTGCACTTTGAAATCTTTTGCAGTTGGAACGGATGGAACTTTAACTTCTAAGTGAACTGATTTTGACTTTGACAGTTTAAATGTTAAATTATGTCGTAATATATGAAACACAGTTTCAAAGTGCCGTTTGTATATTTTCAGGCCTCTCCTGCAAGACCTGTTCCAAAGCCCAGAACAAAGCTTCTGGACACACCTCCACCACCACCACCGCAGACTCCCCCCAGAAGCAGCTCGCCGCACAGTCTGACACAAAGCACAGCTGGAGCAGACAAAAAGAAAGGGTTACCAGCAGCGTACGTGGAAAGACCACTACCTTCACCACTGTCTGACGACAAAGACGGCAACCAGAAGAGTCAAGCAGAGGCAAAGTCTGGACGCATAAGCCTGGCCCAGTGTAAGAAGATATTCCAGAAGAAGAAGCACCACTCTGAAGAGCATACGTACACAGAAATCAACCAAAATGAAATTGGAAAGGAGCCTGCATTCACAGCGTCAAAGCACCAGGAGCTTGGTGGAGACAGCCATGAACCAAAAGCTGAAAATGAACCCGCTGTGGAGGCTGGGGTCAATTCTGTGACTGCAGCTTGGGCTTTACCAGTAGAATACCTCAACCCACCTCCTTTTGCTCCAGGGTACTAACTGAAATAAGTCTGCGCTGAATGTCAGTGATGAAAGTAGTGAGGCTGTATTGTAAGTGAAATATTTAGTTATATATAATATATATATATGATATAATGAATATTACACTTGCAATACAGTGTGTGTGTGTGTGTGTATATATATCACTGTTGTTGGAACAAAATCTCCTATCTCCAAAATCCTTCTTTGCTTTTTATGTAAGTCAATGGGACCAGACATTTTCCTCCATTCAGCATGAAATTTACATACAATGTAAAAGGCAACAGGCTTTTTCAAATTATGTCAGAAACTGAAAAATGACAAAAATGGAGATACAAGGTTTTGTCCCAACAGCAGTGTATTCTTTTGCATGTCAATCAGGCGGCCCCTTCCTGTCAAAGTAGGTGGTTCTTGGCCACTTGAGATTCAGCCTGGGCTTGAAGTGAAGGCAGATCTGATGTGTGTGTGTGTGTGTGTGTGTGTGTGTGTATAAATAGGTTCCTCTGCAGAGAATACACTTAAGGAGAACAAACTTAAATATGGCATTTTTTGCTTTTAGTGCACAATGTGTATTTATTTTCTGAGTTTCACATTTTTGGAAAAAACCTAACCATAAAATGTGTCATAATTACACATTTTTTTAACGCTAAATTTCTGAAAATAAACAGTAATTGTGCATTAAAATTTGCAGAAGTGTGTTCCCTGTAGACGATGTATTCACTTATTTTCGCTTAGAAAATCAACAAAACATGTACCTTAGCACAATATTTTCTGGTTAAAACAAAAATTGGGATTATCGATTGTATCTCCTCACTGCCCCACCAATTTCAGACTGCAGAATGTGCACAGTGAGTTCCATAGCCATGTGCCTGTGCTTTCCATATTGCAAAAAAGGTGTTTTCCATTATTATAGAAAAGGGGCTCTGGAATTCAGCTGTTGATGTCTGTAGGAAAACATGAAGTGACTATTTTTTAATCTCCTCTGAACCTCTGAACCATCAGGACACTAAACTGTAGGGAAAATGCTTAGAGTTTTCCTCAGACGGGACTGTCGCATCTCTGAGAAACCCTCAGCAGAGACAGTGGAAATTTGACTGATACTAGTTACTATGCACATTATTTTATTCTGTTTCTGTGTATTCTGTGTTTATTCTCCATTGTGAGGCAATGACTGCACTACAAAATTTTTATTTATCCATTCTGTCTATATATGTTTAAACTCAATGTTATCACTTCATGGAGGGAATTATCTAAAAGTTGTTAGACAGTAATTTTGCCTATGACAAGGATTACATTGAGGCCACAGCTGTGTAGATCCACATACAGTACTGTGACCAAAAATATTTACCATGGACAAGAAAAACTGTGAACGTCCGAGGTCACTGTGATAATCTGTCTGACTGGAATGCAGTGAAACCTGGCAGACATGGACTTAACTGATGACTCAGTGATAATTCACTGTGATAAACTATAGTAACCACAGACTTGCATTTATGTGCTGTATGGCTCACTTAGTGGGTGAGAGGGAACCAAATAAGCAAGCAGGTTCGATATATATAGTTTATATATACACCATCCAGTGTATTAGAAAGACTCTTGTACTTCCACTCATTGGTCACTTTCTGAGCTCCACCTACTTTGTAGGTCCACTATATAGATGTACAGATATAGACTGTGGCCTTCCGTTGCTGCACAAATCAGCCTTCCTCTACTTCATTAATCAGTGGTCGGTTTCTGAATATACGACCCGATATTATTTGGTAGTGGACCATTCTTGACCGAGCACCTTGCTGAAAAAACAGCCTGGCCTGCTCAAGCTGATTAAACAGCACAGGGTATATTTTCATTTGAATTTGATAGTTTAGCTAGCTGACCAAAATGACCAGCTTGACCAAGTTGGTCGATCAGCATGACCAGTTTGACCAAGTGGGTCAACCATCATGACAGTATGAACAAGCTGGTCGACCAGCTTGGTCAAGTTCGACATGCTGGATGACCAACTTGGTCAAGCTGGTCATTCTGGTTGACCAGCGAAACCATCAAACTCAAATGAAAACATATCCTATGCTGCCTTGCTCATCCAGCTAAGTTGATCTACCAGCTTAACCAGCAAGGGTATGTTTTCATCTACTCCAGCTGGATGTCCAGCTTGTCAACCAACTAGACCAGCCTAGACTGTCTGAAAGCAGCTACTAGCAAAAGCTGGACTCTCAGCAGGGCAGTGACATTGTAGTGGCGTGGTGTGACACTGGTACAAGTGTATCAGGCACAGCGGTGTTGCTGAAGGTCCTGGATTTCAAATAAAGTGACCACTGGTTTATATCTAAGCTGTGTGTGAGCGGTTAGGGGAATGTTGTCCATTTCTCAGAAAGTGAAACAACATCAGACTGCATGACAACAATGCATCCATCCATCATTCACTCTTAATTAACTGCGCTTAAGCAGAGGTGCTGGGTTACAGAAGATCAGGTGTTGCTCTTTCAGCTGCAAGCCTCGCTGTAGCTATCAAATGACTATCAATAACGTTTTTGTCTCGCCGGCCCTTTTTCTCTATTTGTGACTTGTGTCAAATAACACTGAGAATTACAGCCACATCATACTGAACTTGTGACAGACAGGAATGTGACAGGGTGGAATATTCCAGGCTAAACTGGTGGCCATGCGGCTGGTTATCAAGCTTAGATCTCAGTTTTTCACCAGTTAATCACATTACAAATGTTTTCTCTGTCTGTTTTGCGTGACGGGTGTACATGTGCTTGACGAACCTTGTCAAGACTGAAGAAACCAACAAATTATCAAAATATAACATCTTTAAACTTGGCTCTCCTGAAGACTTAAATTACATCACTTACTGTTCATCATACATATATATATGTGAAGGTGTTAAGATGGAACATTGAGCAAAATCTTTTTACTATAAAAATCCATTCAGTACATTTTCTTCCTGAACACAGAAAAGCATTAAACATTTTAACACCTCTGTTATTCTTTTAAACGCTTTTGAACTCCAGTTATAGACCACTGTAGTTGTGTCGTCATTTTGTAGTGGGCGCCATGCTCTTATGCCCATATTAGGAACTCCGGGTCTGAGCTCCATTTCTCTATGGCCAGAATGGGTTTTCGAAAAAAACAAATCTATCGCCCCCTGTGTTAAATAACAATGTTCAGAACCCAATACGTTTTGTCCTATGAACATTCTTCTCTCGAATACCACTGGATCCTCTGAATTACGAGGTTGTTAAAGTGTTGAAATATGAATATTGTTGCATATGAGCTAATGCTACTGCGCACTCAATTCACGTCATTAGACTGACAGCCTCCGTAAGCAGGTTATTTATATTACTCCATAGTTATCGCCCCCTGATCAGCTGATTTAGGCTCTCAGAATATCCTAATTACTATTTTAATGCTGGTAACATTTTTCTGAGGGCATTTTCTCAGGACATTCGCCAGCTTTTTGTTTGACTTTTCCCGTTCCATCTTAAGTGGTGCAGCAGTCACTTTCTGAAATGCTGTGCCATTTAAGGTGGAACAGGAAAAGACTTCAGCTTCATGGAGGGTTGAAAGGCATGATATGAGGAGGTTTCTCTATTGTAATTATGCGCTACGGTAAAACATTTCATTAAGGTAGCACAGCTCGTCAGAGCACCACCACAGCCCGTCTTAGTTTCGTGTAGCTTGGTGACATCAAATTGATGCGCAGTAGCTTTAGCTCACATGTAGCAATATTAGTATTAAGGCTCTTTAACGACCTCTTGATTTGGAGGATCCAGTGATATTCGGGAGAAGAATGTTCACAGGACAAAGCGTATCGGGTTCTGAACATTTATATTTAACACAGGGGGCGATAGAGACGATTTTCCAAAAACCCTATTCATTCTGGCCATAGAGAAATGGAGCTCAGACCCGGAGTTCCTAATATGGGCATAACGAGGACTACAGAATGACGCACGATTACAGTGGTCTATAGGAGTTTAAAATGGCGCCACGTGTACGTTCATGACGTCAGTGAGCGCGAACAGCCAATGAGCTGCTCTGCTCGCCAACCAGTTAGCACTCAGTAGCAGTAATGCTAGCGTCCTGCTGCCTAAAACCTGTTTCCTGTTGGAAAAAAAGAAACATACACGCTTTTTAGTAAAATACAACCTTCAGCTTTCTAAAATTAAAGGAAAGTTCAGGGCAAGTGATTAGAAACTGTTTCAACCTTTTGTTTTTAGCCGTTTAGCTCCCATTCAATCCCAATCAATGAGGACTCGCTCGCGGGCGCCCTCTGCTGTTTTGCAGTCATATTTTTGATATCATGGGGAAATAGGAAGAAGCCAGACTCCTCATAGACCGGCTCTGACAAGTCCTCAAGTAGCTTACTTGATCTCTGAGATCTATCATAAGCAGTTTGTTAGGCACTATTTTTCTCTTTTTGGACCCTTTTGGCCAGAAATGAAGTGCAAAATCTCGAAAGTAAAGAAATACTCAGCGAAGCACAAATGAGGAAAAATAACTAGTTACCAATTACTCTGATCAGATCAGTGGAGAGAGCAGCCCACCTGAATAAGAAGCTAAGAGTTACTGAACAACTACGAGAGAGAGAGAGAGAGAGAGAGAGAGAGAGAGAGAGAGAGAGAGAACGAGAGAGAGAGAGAGACAGACACCCCGGGACGTCGCTGTTGCTAGGCTGCATGCCCTCTGTAACTTGGGAACAGAAAGGTCGATGTAAACACGCTCAGGCTGGGCGTATCAAATGTCTTTTTGGAGTTATGACTTGGTCTGTTCGCTTTTCTCCGGTGGGGTCTGCAGCTCCCCGGTGACGGTGGGCTCCACTGGGCTCCACTGCAGCGCAGAGCACAAGCACCCCGGCTTTCTGAGTGGAAACAGCCGGCTGTAAGAGGAGCAGGTAGATTCTCAGCGCTCTTGGCTCACAGTGTTTTGAAACGTTTTGTAAAAACAAAAGTTTTTTTTTAAGTTTGCGCGTGCGATCTAATCAAAACTGCCGTTGTCAAAGTAACCAAACTGCCTTCCAGCGCTTATAGCACGCGTTCAGGTTTATCCAGAAAACATGAACAAAGCGTTAAAAAAGTTCTGCTTCACACTGCCGCTGTTGAGGTAACAGATCAGCGCTCGAGCAAAACGTTTTACTTTCTTATAAAACATAAACACGAGTGGTCACTCTGAAATGTTCTGCGACGCTCATCATCCACAATGTCGCTGTAATGCCGTTACTGGACAGAAGAGGGCGCAGCTGCATGACGCATGCAGTGAGGAGTAAGAGAGCCGGAGCAGGAGAGCAGCGCTGGACTGACGGATCCATATACAGAGGAGAGTTTGTGGACGATTTGAAACAGGGAGGTGGGGTCTTCACCTGGGCCAACGGAGAGGTGGGCAGCACGAGTCAACACTCAACACTCAAAGACCTCTTTACATAATTAAATGTTGTATATAGTTGTATATAATGTGTTGTACACCGACCAGGCATAACGTTATGACCACCTCCTTGTTTCTACGCTCATTGTCCATTTTATCAGCTCCACTTACTATATAGGTGCACTTTGTTAGCCCCCTTTTACCCTGTTCTTCAGGGGTCAGGACCCCCCATAGACCCTCACAGAGCAGGTACTATTTGGGTGGTGGATCATTCTCAGCACTGCAGTAACACTGACGTGGTGGTGGTGTGTTAGTGTGTGTTGCGCTGGTCTGAGTGGATCAGACACAGCAGTGCTGCTGGAGTTTTTAAACCCCTCAACCAAAAATATCCAGCCAGCAGCGTCCTGTGGGCAGCGTCATGTGACCACTGATGAAGGACTAGAGGATGACCAACACAAACTGTGCAGCAGCAGATGAGCTATCGTCTCTGACTTTACATCAACAAGGTGGACTGACAAGGTAGGAGTGTCTAATAGAGTGGACAGCGAGTGGACAAAGAGTTTAAAAACTCTAGCAGCACTGCTGTGTCTGATCCACTCGTACCAGCACAACACACACTAACACACCACCACCACATCAGCATTACTGCAGTGCTGAGAATGATCCACCACCCAAATAGTACCTGCTCTGTGAGGGTCCATGGGGGTCCTGACTGACAGGGTAAAAGGGGGCTAACAAAGTATGCAGAGAAAAAGATGGACTACAGTCTGTAACTGTAGAACTACAAAGTGCACCTATATAGTAAGTGGAGCTGATAAAATGGACAATGAGCGTAGAAACAAGGAGGTGGTCATAATGTTATGCCTGATCGGTGTATATGATTCAATATAGTACCTTTTTGAAAATGGTTCTATATAGCACGAAAAGGGTTCTTATATTGTTACAAGATTGGCATGATTGGCAGGTTCTATATAGAACTATACACACTTAAAAATGTTTTTTTGAGGGTTCTTTAGTAAAGAAAATGGTTCTATATAGAACCATGAGCACTTAAAGAACCCTTTGCATGATAAAGGTTTCTTTGCGTGGTGAAAGGTTCTTTAGATTAATGAAGAGTATGTTTTATATGATTCTATATAGAACCTTTTTGAAAAGGGTTCTATGTAACAACAAAAAAAGTGTTCTTCGGTTGTTACAAGCTTGACATCGTAACAACAGAAGAACCCTTTTTGGTGCTATATAGAACCCTTTTCAAAAAGGTTCCATATAGAGCCATCTACAGCACATTCTCCATCAGTGTGAAGAACCCTGTCACAATGCAAAGAACCCTTTAATCATGCAAAGCGTTCTTTAAGTATATATATGTATATATAGGTGGGCTGCAGGACTGGAGCTGGGAACTAGTGAACTAGTCTGGCACTGATTTACCTTAAACGAACACCAATTTTGTGCTTATTAACCACACTGCAAACTGCTGTGTGGTTAATAACTGACAAAAGTACTACATTGAGTTGACTTGTTTTATATGTGTACAACTCTTCTACAGTCTGTATTAACCCAGCACAGTTACTGCCAAATGTAAGTAAACTGAAAGACTGAACTGTATTCTGTTATCATGACAATTCAGTTTAAGTGGTCTGTTCATTCATCCTGAGGTCCTTCTGTAGTGACCAGGTGTTTTATTTGCTGCTTAGACATATGAAGGCTCCTTCTACAAGGACTACCGCCATGGGAGTGGGACATACTCCTGGCCGGATGGGTCGCGATTCACTGGCAAGTTTTATCTGAATCGTAAAGAAGGATATGGGGTCCATGTGTTCCCAGATGGAACTACCTTTGAGGTAAAACACAGCTTTGTGAGCAGTTGTGTGCCAGTAATTGACAGGGTGTGTCAGTTGTTTGTAAAATGTTGAATCCTAGGGTTTGGCAGTGGTTAGACGTTATGTAATGATTTATGTAAAATACGGATTATTTCATAAATGTATTCCAGTCCTTTAATGTCTGTTATTAATTATCTTGCTTATTTTGTAAATTATTTTCTCCTAAGCGTTTGCCTTTTTTAAGCATTTAAAAAAGACCTTATTGCACCCACTGCAACCTTTTTTTGCACTGAACTCCTGTCCACTCAGGGTCTGTACCATGCTGATGAACGCTTTGGGCCTGGAGTGGTCACGTATGTAGATGGACGGCAGGATGTGGGTGTGTGGTACAGACAGTGGCTGCTGCGTCTCTGCACCAGAGTAGATGGAGCCTTCACACTAAAGGATGTCCCGGGTTACGCGGCCCGACTCCCAAAACAAGAATGTCTGACCCAGGCGAGGACGAGCTTCAGTATTGCTCTGTTCAAGTATTTGTTCACAACAAATCTTTTAAAAGCAGGGATATGTGATCTTTGTTTTTCCATGGACATGGAATCAATATATACACTTATTGGCCAATTTATTAGAAAACACATGCCTTGATGGTTCACTTTGTAGGTATATGCACTATATGGCCAAAAGAATATGGACACCTGACCATCACACCTATATGACTCTTGTTGGACATCTCTTTCCAAAACCACTGGCATTAATATGGAGTTGACCCCTCCCTTTGCAGGTGTAGCAGCCTCCACTCTTCTAAAAAGGCATTCCACAAGATTTTAGAATATGTCTGTGGGAATTTGTGCCCTTTCAAAAGAACCGTGAACACTCGAACAACCTTTTGCATGATGAAAGTCTTCTTCAGAATGTGCTACAGATGGGTTTATATAGAACCTTTTGGAAGGTTCTGTATAGCAGCCAAAGGGTTCTTCTATTGTTATGATGTTAAGCTGTTAACAATCGACGAACCCTTCTGGGTGCTGTATAGAACCCTTTTCAAAAAGGTTGTATATAGAACAATCTACACTACATTCTTCATCAGTCTGAAGAACCCTTTTGTAATGCAAAGAACCCTTTAATCATGCAAAGGGTTCTTACAGTGCTCATGGTTCTTTACAGAACCACTTTCTTTATGAAAGAACCCTTGAAAAAACATCTTTTTTAAGAGTGTAGGCTTGTGTGCAGCTGCTCGACCATGGAAACCCATTTCACGAAGCTCTCAATGCACTGTTCTTAAGCTGATGTTTCTTCCAGAGGCAGTTTGGAACTCTGTAGTGAGTGACGCAACAGAGGACAGGCCATTTTTATGTGTTTCAGCACTCGGCATATCTACTCTGTGAGTTGCATGGTCTACCGTTTTATGGCTGAGCTATCGTTGCTCCTAAATGCTTCTATATAACAGTAGTAGCACTTACAGTTGACTGGGGCAGATCTAGCGGGGCAAAATTTTCACAAATGTCTAACAGTGCTAGGTTTAAAGCCAGTGAGCTCTTCAGTATGACCTACTCTACTGCCACTGTTTGTCTACGGTGACCGCATGGGTACATGCTTGATTTTACATACCTGTTTGCACCCGAACTTAATAATTAGGAGGGGTGTTCACATACATTTGGCCATCTAGTGTAGATAGAGACCAACCCTATTTAAGGCACAAACAGACACAGGTTTGTTATCCTTTGTAAGTAGCCCATCATCGGTGGTCAGTTTCTGACCACAGGACCACTGTTGGCTGGATATTTTTGGTTGATGGATTATTCTGAACCCAGCAGTGACACTGACATCACCACACACCACCATGCAACTGCCATGTCAGTGTCACTGCTGTACTGAGTGTGTCTGAGGGTCATATGGTGGCCTCTTGCCACTCACAGATGCGGTAAAAAGGGACAGATGAATTTTTCAGCAACATATGGGCTTCAGTTAGCAACTTTAAACCTACAAAATACATCTTATGGTAGGTGTTTCATTTGGTGTTGGTACAACGTATCTAATAAATATATTGTTGATCATAAACAGCCAACCATTAAAAGCAGGGCTGGGCAGTAAGACGATATATATCATTTATGTGATAAATTATGTCACAATAGCAGACGATATGCTTTTCTGAACATATCATGTATATCGTCAGTACTTGTAGAACACTGAACAACTGCATGTTTCATTAGAAAAGAGCAAAATTTGTCTAGCTTAGCTGGATTTCATGCAACACAGCATGTCAAATATTGAACAAAAATAATTGTATTCACAGTTTTTGATAGTATTTTTTTTAAATGTAGCTCTACTGGCTCTTTTTTCTCAGTTCCAACTAATTACATGTCTGAAAAATGAATAGCTTCAAGACAATTTCTTGAAGTATCGTGATATTGTATTTTTGCCATATCGCCCACCTTTAATTAAAAGTGAAATAAGTAAAACTGACGATGACATTTAAAAGCTATTTTATTTTGGAGCACTACATTTTTAACTATTAGATTTCAAATAGTGATTATGTCTGTCAATCATGTCCCCAGACCCAAGCTGAGGGACTCACCCACCCTTCCCTAATTACAAGCCCAGGTACAGAAAACAAGCAAGTCTACTCAATCGATACATCTCTGCTTGATGACCCTTCACTGCTGGAGGACGAGTGGTTCATCCTGCCACCAGACATCCACAGCTACTCCACCGACTCGGACCACCTGCCCATAACCCGCCACTTGAGGCAAGAACTGGACCTGCACTTCTTTGGCAGGAGCGATGTCATCACACCATCATTCTCTGACGAGCTGCCCTTGCAGCTGCGAATAGAGGCCCATGTCCACACACACAGGTCAGCAGCACAGCTGGACTCATTATTTTATGAACTCTAAGACTTTTTGAGTGACCAGAGTAAATGACTGTGCAAATGACTATGGGTGAGGGCAGTGATCCAGTATATCACAATGAATTAAAAACACCTGTTCCAACCTATATCCAGTAAGCTGCCCCTACTTAAAGGGGAACTTCACCAGTTTTTCAAAATTTCCACATAATTGAATGGTTAAGATGCAAACAAAGTCATTCAGAGTGGTTTGGTGTAAAATGCTCTATTCTAGAGAAACTTAATCTGAATTGCTCACAGTGGTGGTGATGGGAACCAAACATCTGAAGAGTATAATGCCTCTAAAAGCTCTCTCACAGAAAGTTATTACAGGTAAAGGTTATGAATGCACTGCCTGATGCCTGAGACATTGTTTTATGGTAGTTTTGTGATAACATTTCAGCCTACAACTTGTTGTTAATCCATTTATTTAAATGTATTCCTGGTGGAG